ATGCTCTAGCACCCGCAAGTGTATCTCACTCCACAAGTGTTATTATAGGAATTTTAAATGTTTAGGCATTTTTATTAGTGCATTCTCTGGATAAAACCACCTACTCGCTGTCACTTTATGTTAATACCGTCCCCAGCTAGTTTAACTAATTTGAATATCATCAACAGTATATCACTGTGTCACATGACATACGCATTTTGATAGATCTGTTTGACATATTTCGGTAATTACTGCTTTGTTGTTCCGTGCTCTCTGTTTTCGTTTTAATTTCTCTAGTTGTAGATATTTATCATTAAATCGATCTGGCACACGAAATGACCTTAATTACATCGTTTATAAATCAACAGACAGTCCAGTTAAGAAATATTACATGTTCCCGGCTGATACATTGGATCGCTGTAATACCCAAACAATTACTGAACTAGTAAACTTAAAACTCATAAAACATGTTCGTTCTGTACATATAATGATATTATTTATATCAAATTGATCATGCCTGTAAACTGGCGTGAATTCTGTAATTATAATTTTTTCAGAATATAAATTATTATTATTATTATTATTAAATATTTGACTACTTATTGTGTATGGGATTTTGCAATTGTATTGCTGTTGAAACAATTTGCGTCTTGCCTGAAAATTTCTGTTTATATGGTTGGTTAATAAAACGCGCAAAATATCGTTTTAAATATCGTCTTTATTATATGATCAAGTTGTTTTCAATCCGACTCGTTGCGCTACTCTACACTTTGTATGTTGCTCTCAGATTCATGGGCTTAGAATTATCTTCGGGCTGGAGGCATGTATTGTTGTCCTAAGGTAAATCTAATGTGTGACTGAAAGTGTGGACATTGTTTTCATGTTTGCCACGAATTTATAAGACAATCATTTGTCATCTCGAGAGCGAATTTTCGCCGTTCAACTTCGATCTCTATAAAATATATGTTTGCTATCATTCATTGCGTTGTTAGGATACTACCACACACTGTATCATAACAAAATATTGCTCTTTCGCTACATCCGGTTCTTTTAAGCTTATATTGGCATACAGATGAAAACGATCCAACGTACCTTTAACATTTCTCTAATTAATTTACAATTCTTTTTTGAATAATCCATGGAAGTTGACTGAAAATATTGAACATTGATTGCCAAAATAACTTTCTAAAGAAGACTGATCTATCATCATCCGATATCAGTTCGCGATACTACGGAGTGTGTCCAACTGCAATTACAACGTCAAACAATACGAATATTGACGGACTGGGGAGACACGTAGTTGTGGATTATCGAATCATTGAAGTAAAGGGGATAAAATAGCTTTGCTGCCGTATTTGTTCAAGCAATTATGACTGTCAGTGAAATCATGCAACAAATGCCTCAAAATGCCTGTCTGTAACGCTGATACGAGTTATCCAAGCAACCAACTTTTGAAAAAACCCACCAGATTCAAAGCAGTTACATTAAAATATCCGTGGAAATGCGCTCAAGGTTTCCCAATTTAGCCATACCTGAGATTTTTCGTACAACGAACACAAGATCTAATTGGAATTCACTTTTTTTCCTCTGATGACAGCAGTAAGTCTAGCTTAGATTGTTATAAGTTATCTAAGTACGGTAGAGGATTCAGCATAAGTTGGAAACATGAGTTTAAGTGGTGAGTGTAGGAGAACAACCCCAGTATCACTGTTAGATTGCTTCGTTCTTAAACATAAGGAGCCTGAAACAACTAAATATTCTGTCCCATAAACATTGGTGTGTTGATTTCATGGCCCTCGCCACCAATGCTTGCTGGGCAGTGATCCCAATTTCCATCCTTTTGTTCTTATGGGCTCTGTAACAACCGAACTGTTAGTATTCGGTTTGAACGCAGGACTGACGAACCAAAACGTATTCGAATAGGCCAGACTACGCTCTTCTGTATGGACACTCGTATTAAGTTATATCAAAACACAAACTCTGTGCTCAATTTATACGGTTCTAGTTCAAGAAATAGAACAAATAATATCAAAAATACAAAGTACCTCAAACAATACAGCCTGTGCTATACAGTCAGAAGTTTCTCTAAGGCAATGTAGTGTGCTAAACAATAAAAGAAACATTAATACCAAAGGATTTTATACATGAGAATCAAAAATATATTCCCAACAAACGGGATCAAATATCTATCTGCAGGGATTCCAGAAATCCTCTCAAGTAGACATTCAAAAGTTTAACAGTCACACTGAACCACGCCGTGACCTTGAGCTCAGTCAAACACGACCTCACTGTCAATAGTCCGGCAACATGCAATAAAAAATTAGGTAACAAAAAGATAAGTTTTTAATCAAAATCACTGAATGTTACCTTATATCTTTTATTCATATTAAATATATTGTTATATCTCTAGCCTAAGCTTGTTCTCCATCTTCTTGGTAATTGTTACGATGCAGTGAGTTGGTGTAGACGATGATGTGACTTCCACGCAAGATCTTATAGATTGGGACGTTATATCATGATAAATCTACAATTTTAGGATTAGGTCTATTATTAGAGTAGTACTAATATCATAGTAGACCAAAATTCTACAGGCTTGCATCGTGTGTAACAAAAGAAAGTTGACTTTAATTTGCTTGAAGTTCACCTTGTTGGAAGAGTAAGCACAATTCAATTATGAACAGGAGAACCTCCTTGTATAATCCTACTGGGTACATTCATGGGCTTAGAGAAACTAGATCCAAAGCAAACGATGTGGCTTCGTTCCGCTAAAAAAAGATTTGAACCAGGATAAAATAGTATTCCGTACGCTAAATGAAGAAAATTTTTGAAGGATTAGTTTGTGTGAAACATTGTCGAAGGCCTTACTATAATCGAAGTACATGATTATCACTTACTGACCAACATCTCTTCTCTGAGTAATTCAAGCGCGATGTGGAGCATGAGCGTTCAGTTTCTAATTCATTTGTCCATCGAGAGCCTTTATTATTGCTACATACTAAATGGATGTTGAGAATAGCTGAAAAACCATGTTGAACAATAAACCATTTTCTCAAATCTAAATCTGATAGGAATATAATTTTAATAATAGATGTTTGGTTTTTTTGTTATAATTGGAGCGATTAGGCACGGAAACGTTCAGATCCGAACTGACGTTCACGATCTGTAGTGATCGTTGAAATGCAGCCGAAGTTTGCTATTCATAGTTCAACGAAGACGCGGGCCACTGATTTGGCAGTACTGTTCTTAATGGTTACTGCTTTTGTCCGTCGTGTGAAACAGTCTACACAAATTAAGAGATAAGAGTATACATTCGAAGTTCTACCAAATCTAGATGACCATGGTCGAAACCAGCATCGGGAGTTATAAAAGAGCCTAAAGGACATTTGTTGTGTATAGTCACCTTAGTATTCTGGTAGCTTACACAGAAGCGTCCTCACTCCCTTATGTCTTTTTTGATACCAAGATCATGACCATTCCGTGTTTGCAAAGTTTCTGATATTATCGATAACAACATTTGTTTCAGTAGAAGTACGGGGGTACTTTTGCAAAACGAAATGACAGGCTACAACTATGTGATCACTGCTTTAGAATTTAAGACTATATATATATATATATATATATATATATATATTCAATAAATGTTGGGGCATTTAGCATAAAAATTAAGTTTAATAGGCCAGATTCTCTTGTGAGTTTACTTACCATCCGTGTCTAACTGTTTGCTTCTAGTGCTTCAATGAATTCTTCAGAATGAGAAAGACCACTCAATGGATGCCAACTAATAGACGGCATATTGTTGCAGTACAAATCCCAATCAGTATCATCTGATTCCCATGGTCTAGAAGCAGATCGTTTTCTAGGTGGACATCTTTTGATAGCCTTGAACTGTCTGCGATCATACTGAATGGTAAGCGAAAAGAAATGCTACCGAGGTTCGTCATTTTGTCTTACGTAGACCGAGGCCTTCCTTTGATAGGACAACCCCTGGTGCTGGTGTTTTTGGTGTCCTCCAGTATTTCGCCGGTAGATGTATCCAGTCCACCAGTGGTGTTATTTTTGAACCGTTTGCACCATTTTTGGAATCTTAGATAAAAAGAACTGCTTAGAGATGCCATCGGTAAAGTTCGCTGACTAGTGGCTTCCACAAACAGTAATATGTATGTTGTAGAGATGTGTAGCTATTCGATAATGTGAAATAGGTGTTCAAATCTTCGCCGATCAGTTAGATCCCCACGTTAAAGAATTTACGTCTTTAATGTTCCATAAGGTTCAGAAACATTGCCGGTAAACATGATTAGGGTGAAAAACCTATTAACCTCGCGCGGTCATGTTTTTACTACTGAGAGCAACCACTCACGTGGATTTGTGCTCGTGAAACTTAGCTTCCTTACATCAGAACCAGGCGGCGATGTTGCAAGGAGTGCGCAACACGACGTATTCATTGGTGATCTGGTGAGGAGGCATGATCAAGTTCTGTCCACTATGTTGTGTCCAGTATAACTAATGAGGTCAGTATCCAATTGGGAGACATACAGAACTATTTGTTTTTAGGATCTGTTTGCCTCTACACCATCACCGTTACAAACACTTGGTTAAGCACCTTATAAAGAACTATAGCGGAGTAATTTTATGAAGCCTTTTCCGTTGTTCAGTTGTCACTACTAAACTCACATGAACTAATTAAGTTAGGGTCAACACAAAATTGTCACATGCACTCACGTTTTCCAAGTACTACTTGCAATCCAATTGCTTGTTTATTTTTCATTTCTTTTGAATTTCTGAAGGATCAACATAAGCGTATAATCATTCCATTTCTAAAATCCATTCTCAATAATCAAGACACAATTCGCGAAGTATTATCAGTTAACTACTCTTGCTCGACAGCGTTCAGGGACTAAATGAGGAAGCTTGGACAGTGATTAATAGTATTGAACTTCCGTCTTAAATCGATTAACTCTGTTTGTCAGAAATGATCAAGTGAAATGGTTTTTCAATAACTAACCATGAAGTCATTGGATATTGGACCACGTGCTAGTGTTTTCGCAACTCGATCGTTTTCTCGCGATACTTTATACTCCGTTCCATATTCCGGACAGATTAGGTTGTCTGGTGAGGTGCGGACTTCATCCTCTGTTATGACTCGTGAGGAGACATGGAGTGAGTTTTGTTCAGTCGCTAGCGTCAGACTATCTATTGAAGCACTTCAGCTGTTCAAGGCCTATTTAAATGATAATCGTCATGATGACAAACCTGGTTGTGGTTTGGAGTTTTTGGAAATTATATTTAAAAAAATGCGTCGCAAATTTGAAACATCTCTATCCCCTTGCTATTTCGTGCGGGAAAATAAGCCTGCCGAAATACCGTCATCAAAAACAGGTACTTGGTCACGCTTTATGTGATAGGTGTTTTTTTTTGTCATACTCGTAAAGGGGGCTTAAGCTTCTTGAAGATTATTTAATTACTAATTTAATTTATTTAGATATATTGCTCCACCAATTTTGCTTGGTGAAATACTTATTAGTTAGATGTACAGTGTTTTAAGGGTTGCATAGTTTTTTTGTTTTGACTACTGTGTTAGACAATGTATAACAAACCAGTCGTTAACTCTCGTCGTCTAGATTTATTGTCGTGAAGTTGTCAAGTACGTTTAATCTTACCCTAACACTCGTAATTTTCGAGCTATGGTTGTAAGCAAGTAACCACATGTTAGTAAATGAAAGGATCGTTTTTCACTGTAGATTAAATTTTAACGTCTTGGTCAAGCCCAATTTCTTTGCATGTAAACAGATTTCAAATGTTCATTATACTGTGAAAATTGTCTAAAAGTTCCAGCTTAATTTATCGTATTTCTTACTTCGTTCCCTCATTAGATTGACCTGGATTACGGCTATGTGCAATATTATGTTAAGAAATCGGATATTCATTTTCTTACTCTAGATAAACAGTGTTGTGAGCATGGTGAAAACTTTACCAAGGCTTTCAAGTCAACAAATCCCTAACATGTCAGGATTATGTGAAGATATGAACAGATTTCATCGGATATTTTTGAGGTCTCTTATCGTTGGCTTTTCCATATACCTCGGTATGAATGGTTGTAGAATATTATTTCACTCTTAGTGGTAACTTTTTATCCGAAACTGGGAAAAGTTAATAAAGCTATTAGCCGCGTCAGTCATGGTGGTAACATAGTTGACTTCTGGCTGAAAGCTGATCTCTTAACCAGACATGGTTCATTCTTCACATCTAAATGTCTACATACTTTTCACTAACCTTGCTGTTTTATCTTCGCTACATATTTTTAGCTTTAGAGATGCCTGTTTCTATACATACACGATGCTTTCAATTGCATGTAATAAGATAATTATAAAAGATAGTGTATTTTGTTAAAGTAACTTGCCACAAGGTTGAAATTAGTAAATGATTTTAATATGGTAGTTATGTGGTGTCACTTGTTTTTGTTACATTTTAACTAGGTACTGATCTTAAAAATACGAATGAACGTTTGTCTTTCAAAGAAGAAAACCTATCTATAAACTCTTCCTCCACAGAATTGAGTGAAAATTTTTCTCACATTGCATATGCTAACGCCAGTGCTGTGGTAGCGGCCGCACGGTCCAAGGCTGTGGCTGCCTCAGGGGTTCGCAACACTTCACCTCGTGGCAAGAGCTGTGATACACCTTCAGATAAAGCCTCAAAGAATATCTTTTCAAGAACTCGACATTCAAGAAGTGCTCCCAACAAAAATTCTAATCGACAGCCTTCAGTTAACCAGCAAGATTTTCATCAAAAACACAACTGGCTAAGAGAGCAACAGACAAAATTCCATACAGATTCGTCAATAAACCAAGGTGTTTCGGAAATCAAACCTAGTTGGCGCCTGAGTTCCCTCTGGCTTCGACGTAGTTTTACAATCTCTTGGCGTCGTAGATCACCTCTTAGTGTAGACAGTTCTGGAGGAAAATATGGGGGGTGAGAGTCTTTTTATCTAAACACTAATTAAATGGATTACTCTTTGTAGTAATGAATCTTGAATGTCTTTAGTGTAGATTTTCAGTTTTCAAACCAACCTTTTGAACCCACTCAGCCCATTAGGACTAGTTCAGTTAAAGAATCTGCCCACTCAGAAAATGAAAGCAAATTTAGAGATCTAAGCTAGAGTGTGTTTATAATTATAGGGTGATCAGCTATTCAAGCAAGATCGAATCACTACATTAAGGCTATCGTTATTGGTTTTGCTTCATACTGTTGGATTGTTTTTGCATGATTTTCATCTTACGAATAATCCACAAATTCTAAACTTCTTGCATAACCCAGTGGTCTTCAATTTATGAATCCTCCCACCTACTTAGTTTTAAACACTTAAACATTACAGTTATTGTGTAGCCCGAGCACATAACGTTTTGCGTGTAGTAAATGTGTTGCACTGTATTGTGATTGTCACTATTATTAAATTAGTCATTTTAGCGATCTATCAGTATTTCTGCCCTGGTTAACCACAAACGTTAGGGTAGGAAGTGATTGCACTTTAGCACCTACTACTTCAATCATTTTGATCTATGCATGTTCACAACCAAGTTTTAATAGTTGGTTTCATCTCACACTGATAGCTGTAGGGCGGTGTGATTATGTTGACAAACAAAACTAATTGATATTTCTTATCTAAATCAGCTCTCAACTGGTTGGTAATAAAGCGCGTTTCTGTTATCTGTCCCGTCATTATGGTAAATGAACCGGTACTTTGTTGCTGCAACAAGAAACAAACTAACAAATATTAATCGAACCTTTTATTTCAACGCATGTCAGCGACCGATTCTCTAAGTTGCACAACACATATAAATAACTAATAAGTAAAGGTCATGTATGGGTGAAGATACGTTCCAAATCACTAGTTCTTCAATATCTAAGTGTTACGCGTTTGTTAAGCACTCTAAAGCTTTCCATTAGACCCTGTAAAAAACTGCACTTTATTGGCATCTTTACTCCATGTACTAATGTCACCGATAATATAGCTTATTTTTTTCACAATTTACAAATATAAAGTAAGTGAATCACGAGATTTATTGTCGTATTGCCTAATTTTATCGGCTACTTGGAAGTTTTTTTCTATTTTTAATCGAACATATATCAGTCCTTATCCTCGTTCTCCTGGGACTGCTGTAAGTATGAATGCCGAATTAGTTCGTGAAGGTATTGTGATGCAATGGCTTGGTCCACACTTTGATTCACATCGTCCTCGTATTGATTGTGAAAAGATGAATAATCCTGAAGCTGGAGTTGAGAAGAAAACCACACAGTGGGCTCAGTCTCGTCTTTGTTTATGTAGTACAAGCGCAGGCCTTATTTTAGAAATATTTACTCCTCCTGATGTAAGTGATCACCTTACGATATTTTTATTGTTTATATGCTTGAAATGATATATCCAAGTAATTCTTATTTCAATGGTTAAGATCATGAGTCAGTTGAAGATAGACCACAATGGAAAACCTGGAAGCACTGGACGGCCGTTTTGTCCTACTATGAGACTCCTCAGTAGTGCGCATCCAAAACCTCGCCCCTGCGAGATTCGAACCCAGGACCTACTGGTTTCACGCGCGAGCACTTAACCACTAGACCACTGAGCCGGCGTCCAACGGTGTTAATGTCTAACTTCAACTAATCCACATCCAGGTCTGTTGTGAGATAGTAACTCACTGAAGACAATTGTGGATGTGTCGCTCAATTTCGTGGATTAGTTGAAGTTAGACATTAACACCGTTGGATGCCGGCTCAGTGGTCTAGTGGTTGAGTGCTCGCTCGTGAAACCAGTAGGTCCTGGGTTCGAAGCTCGCAGGGGCGAGGTTTTGGATGCGCACTACCGAGGAGTCCCATAATAGGACGAAACGGCCGTCCAGTGCTTCCAGGTTTTCCATGGTGGCCTAGCTTCAACTAACTCATGATCTTAACCATTGAAATTACTACAATCTCCACAAAACCCCTTCTGATAATAATTCTTATTTATTTATCATCCTTATAAATTTGTTCTTGATCATTTTCATAAATAAATGTTATTAAGAAGTAATTTGATTGCTTCAGTAGGTGTATGATTAGGATTCTTTTCGTGTGATTTACGTTTATTAGTCGATATTATCTGTTTGTATGTCGAGTTACTCATGTTCTTATTGTGTGCGGATAGATATGTTGTATGATCGTGTAGATTAAATTTACTTATTACTTACATCGTCGAATTTTAGTTCTGATATATTTTACGTGATAATTGTCATCCAGAAACAGTTTTTATTAGATAAATCAAAAATACATGATAACATGACGAGTCTCATGAATCTTTAACGGATTTATGCGATTGTTATTTAATTTCAAACCAGATTGATTAAAGCATTTTATTCTAACTTCTTACTTTGGTAGATTGAAAGTTCTTTGAATCAGACCTGATTTCATTGTTGGGGTTTAAAAACTTGTAAAACTAAAACGGCTACTGTAATACTTCAATATTCACATTGAGGTTTAAAATTAAGCGGTACGGTTGCCATTTTCTTTGAAGCACCACTGAATTATGGGTTTTAGCTGTTGAGCTGGTCATATTGAAGTTAGGTCTAGGGTTATTGATATTCCAGAGGTAGTAAATCAAATCCACCTGATGTCCTCGTTTGCAATTAGTTATCTTCATAGATTTCGTTGTCTTCTTTCCTTGTATTCATAGTAGCCGTCCTGTTCAGTTGATGGATTTATGAACCTGCACGAACTGAGACTTGAAAAACATACTGTACATATTGAACCACTTCGATCATGAGTTGCTAACCAGTCTAGGAACATTTTCCAAATTTTCCAAAGCAAGTGTATGGTATTTATCCCTGAGGCTAGCAAAATATTGTCTAGATTGTATAGGGAACTGGAGAATTCAGAGTGGTCATCTTTAAGGTCTCATAAATTAGCGGTTTTTATTTCATTTTATTTGAATACATAAATATTGGTACAAGGGGCACCAGATATATATGCGCCACACAATAACAATGAAAATGGGAAGACTTTCTAAAGACATAACCAGCCCTATCTGTTGTCCGATCTGCATTAGTGTGCGAACGTTGAAGGAAGCCAGTTTGAATGGTGCACGTGGTTTCAGAAAAACTGTTTCAGTACTCGTATTCGGTGGTAATATTCAATTTTCGACCAGTCAGTGACTCGAAATCGTTTAGAGAGAACAGAATTTCCACCATAAGCGAGCTGCTGTATAAGTTGAAAAGTAAGGATACGCAAAGTGAGGATGGAAGAGTGACGTAGTACAAAAAAATAAAAATAAAAGTGAATTTTATCAAATGGGTATGGGTTGTTTGAATTGTAATGAAAGTGAGAGCAGTAGATTTTATTACTTAGTTATACTTAAGTAATAAGATTGTTCTGTTTCAGTTCCATTTTAAATATATCCTCTTCATCTTGAATATGTATAACCTATGATTTTTTAACGTTAAAATTAGGCTGAACAATCCCAGTATGGTCTGTGCTGTGGTCTTATTTTCGACGTTCGATTAGTCTGTCCTGATGAGCTTACAGACCCTCGGAACAACGTTTTACTTGTTAAAGTGAGTTTTACTCGTAAAATGTGTAATCCTTATATTTGTCGATGTAATTAAAATGGGTGTATAATAAGGAGTACCATGGTAGCGGTATATGTTTTCGTGTCAATAACCATATTTATCCTCAAACTATTTTCTTGTTTAAGTATCCAATCAATCAAGCACTTATTAATATGGAACTACTCAGTTTGCTACCGACAATTTCCGTCGACTGATATGGTGGAACATGTGTTATGTATGACCAACCACCGGCTGCCTCAGCGCACAGTTTTGACGGGAGCAGGATCAAACTGGGAGAAAACTAAGAGTGGACAAACCAAGACATAGGTTCAGTCTCGAAGTCGTTAACTATCAGAATGGCCAGTGTTGGTTAGTGCATACTACCTGATTAGTGTTGACATATTTTTGCCAGGCTCTTCAATCTGTCATTCTTTTCGGGAGTAGTTCAAATGGTTCTGATTCTGAATCTGAGACCCTGTTTACTGTCTAGGGTAGGTTAAGTTTGAAGAGTACTGATAGTCATGTGGTTGTCATCTTTGTGGTACCATTGCTCATAATCACTTAATGCTTATCGGATCATGTCTACACTTAGTCTTTCTTACTACCATTAATACTGTTATTACGTCTACCTATCTGGGCTTGTCTTGGCAATTTCATCTCACTGGGCTGAAATCGTATAAGAACTTATTTATTTATTTGAACACATAAATATTGGTACAGGGGGGCACCAAATATATATGCGCCACACAAAACAATGATAATTTGAAGAGAAGGAGAAAAGAGAAAAAAAAAAGTAATGATCGTGGGGAATTAGAAAAAAAAGAGAGAGAGAACAATGGTGGGGGAAACGGAAAGGTACAATCAGAAGAATTCTTTCAGTTAAGTAAGATACAACCACATTTTATGAAGAAAGTAAAAGAAGGTTACAGCAGGATCGCCACTGGCTTCTATTCTGAGCCATATCTGATAACGTCTCTAGCCACTGTGCTACACCGTCTTTCGGACCCCAACCAGGGAGTCGTGAAGGACCAACAGAAGCTAGCCCTTTGCAGCTTTCTTTCATACCACGACACCATGTCATATACTGACCACCTCTTCGCTTTTTCCAACCAGTCCCAGAGTTGGCAAATAATGCACGATGAGGAATTCTCTGGGACGACATTCGTAGAACATGTCCAAGCCACCGAATTCGGTGTCTCAAGATGGTGACACCAATTGGATTATCGTCTCTGTGCCCGAACACACGATACCGAACCTCTGCATTACTGACATGGTGTTGCCACTGGATGTCAGCAATCCTTCGGAGACAACGATGATCGAACACAGAGAGTGGTCTAACATCCTCAACTCGGAGAGGCCAGGTTTCACAAGCATAGAGCAAAACTGCTCTCACCGTCGCGTTGTAGATCCGACCTTTTACAGCCAGACTAACATCACGAAGGCGCCAAAGATGGCCCAGATTGGCATAAGCCGCTCTGGCTTTCACTATACGTGCATTGATCTCATCACTCACACCACCACCAGCACTTATGCAGCTACCTAGAAACACGAACTTCTCCACTACTTCTATCTGCTCACCATCCAGAGTGAGTACAGGATTAGAATCCTGCCAGTCTTGTAGAAGTACTTTGCACTTAGAAGGTGCAAAGCACATACCATACCTATGGACACTGATTGCCGACTGATTAAGTGCGGATTGCATGGCTTGGGCATTCTCGCATAGTAAGACAATATCATCCGCATACTCAAGATCGAGAAGTCTTTCTCCAGGCAACAGATCCACACCACCATTACTTACATCCATCAGAGCTGTTTCCAGAATGTCATCGATGGCAAAGTTGAAGAGGAATGGTGAGATTGGGTAACCCTGCCTAACCCCACTGCTTGAATGGAATAATGGAGAAAGGTGGTTGTATGCCCTCACTCTGCCTGAGGTGTTTGTGTATAGGGCTTTTAGGATGTTAATAAACTTCTCAGGCACACCCTTCTTCAATAGACAATCTCAGAGAACAGTCCTACCCAACGAATCGAAGGCAGCCCTGATATCAAGAAACACTACAATTGTTGGCCTTTGATAAGTATGGCGATGTTCTAACATTTGGCGGAGGGTGAAGATATGATCAATACATCCTCATCCAGAACGAAACCCAGCCTGCTCCTCGCGAGTCAATCTTTCTCGGGTTTTGAACAACCTATGAAGTATGACGGAAGCCAATAGCTTGGACGCAATCGGAAGTAGACTTATGCCCCGATAGTTGTTACAGGAACGACGTGAACCCTTTTTAAAGATAGGGACAACTATCGACTCATTCCATGACGTTGGTACACTCTCTAGTTCCCAGACCTTTGTAAACAAAGTCGTCAGTGCCTTAGTCAGAAAGTCACCACCATCTTCAAAAAGAGCCGGAGGTAAGTCGTCTGGGCCCGGTGATTTATAGCGTTTCAAGAGTTGGAGTTCCTTGCGGACTTCCGCCTCATTTGGTGGATCAGTCGTCACCGGCCATGGAGTGCAGGACAGTCTGACCGACGTTGCCGGAGCAGCAGGCCAGTTGAACTGCCCTTCGAAGAACTCTGCCCATCGTCCAAGACGTCGATGGATGTTAGTGATTGACGTTTCGTCATCCTCGCAGATTGTTTCGCTCACACTAGACTTCTTGCTGCCAGTAGCTCTGATGAGTTGGAAGAGCTTCCGGTAATTACCAGATGCAGCTGCTGCTTCCAGCTCATTAACACGCTCCGATCACCAGGCTTCTCGGTCCTTACGCAAGCTTTGCCCGATTTCATTACGTAACATCCTTCGTCTGTGGTCAAACTCACGGTCACCCGGAGTAGACAGACGGGCTTCAATCAATTGTAGCGAACCAGAAGAAACCCAGTGCTTGTAAGCGCGACGTTTCGTAAACCCACAACTGACTTGACCCGCCATTTTCATGGCGTCATGCAATTGCAACCAATGCTCATCTATACTTTTCGGTGGAATGGTAGCTAGTCTAGAAGCTAGCTCGGTTCGGTACATACTAGCAACAGAAGTTGCAGCCAGCTTGCTAACGTCAATCCTGTGGTGGCGGTCACTTCGTTGTCCGCTGAAAAGTAAGGTAAGATTGGCGCAGACCAGAGCATGATCAGATTCCAGATAGGTACTCCGAAAGGAGCGGCAGTCTTGTACACAACCACGGCAGCGGTAGCTGATCGCGATGTGATCAATCTGAGTCCAGGCTTGAGATGCAGAAGGGGGAAGCGAGGTGGCACATCGGCGGTGACTGTGCCGAAAGTTAGTGCTAGCCAGAAACAGGTTGTGATCTGTGCATATTTGCAGTAGACGTTCCCCGTTATCTGTCCTGCGACCAACGAGTCCCCATCGGCCAGCTAAACGACTCTCTTCAGTGCCTAGACGCCCGACCTGAGCATTCAAGTCTCCGGCTAGTACTACAATATCTGTCGAACGCACTTTCTGGAGAACAGTTAACTGGTGGTAGAACTCATCCTTGATTGCATCCGGGCTGCAATCTGTCGGGGCATAGGCGGAGATGACGAAAAGACATCGTTTCTCACGCCGATTTCTTCTCACTTTGATGGAACTTTCTAATCTAACAGCATATAACCGACTGTTAATGGGGATCCAGTCGACTAGTGCTGCCTCAGCTCTTGCGCTTAGTGCGACACCAACGACAGCAAGACCAGACGAAGATTCCACAGGGTCCCCGGATAAACACACATAAAACAAGCTTTTTGAAGTGACAGATGGAGAGCGAACTTGTAGTACTTCACCAGAGTCTTGAATACGGGTCTCGGATAGACAACACACATCAATATTAAGACTTTCCAAAGACATAGCCGTATAAGAACTTACACCGGGTATGTCCCAGGCTCTATGTTGCTCACAATTGACTGAGCCACTCAGTGTATTTAATCCCATCAAATTCGCCCTCCTAGTAGTAGTATCTTGCCAGTCGCAATAATTCCCTCAGCAAGAAATATTCAGAAATTCATTTATTCTGTGATTTAAAATATCCCATCTCAAGTGCTCTGAACCTTCTTTATATTTTAGTTGGTTGCGAACAATTGAAATTGGATTGCCTTAATTTAAATCTAAAACAAAAAAGCAGTAGCACAATCTTTGCTAACTATAGCTTTGGGCTGTATCCGATACCATCCTAGTACGGAAAACAACGGGAATTATTGGTATAATCTTAGTAAATCTGATTTCATGAGTTAAGAAACACCGATATGTTATATAATATCATATTTCACTGTTGTTTCAAGCTTCTTTAAATCATCGGATTCTATGAAAGTCATCATGTTATCGTTTTACTGCTACTAATGTCCTTTGAATAACTAACACTAAAATAGATTTTAATATCTCATATAATTATTTGTACAAGACACCAATATTGAAATTTCCACCTACAACAGTTTATGATGGAATAACAATGAGACTTCATACAGGTCCACAGATGTTGTTTAACTTCTGGTAGTCATCATACCAGATTAATACTAAAGAATAATTGAGTGACTTTTTTGGGAAATTTCTAAGTGTTCATAACATAGTTATTCATAGTTCTAGTGACATTGAGTTATTAAGCCACCGAATTTATATTATAAGAATCTGATATGAAAATTTAAATTGAAGGCATCAACCTTAAGCTGTTTAATTATCAGTTTTGATGTTAGTACTATTGAAGTGGAACAAAACATTATTAATAAAATTTAAAAAATTAAGAGTGTACTGTGATATTCAAGCTTCATCCTTTTTTATCATAAAGCGTCGCATTTTTTAAGGAATATTTTCATTTTTCAGGAATAACACTATCTTGAAGGTATCTCAATTATGTTGATGATATAAAAAGATATTTTACTGGTGTAAACGTTAGGTTTCAAAATGGGAAAACGTATAATAGATAATTTCATCTCGAAGTCACGTAAATGTTTAAAAGTTTATAGATTACAGAAGAATGTACTTTGGCATCATTAATAAAAAATTTGAAAATTCCCAAAAATTGGCAGGTCAAGATAGATTTAAGGCCTGTCGCTAGCACATGATTTGGATAAATGCATTGTGCTAGATTATTTATTTATTTATTTGAACGCATAAATATTGGTACAAGGGGGCACCAGATACATATTATTATTTTATTTTTATTTTAACACATAGGTATTGGTACAAGGAGGCACCAAATACATATGTGCCACACGAATCTCATTTGATTTGTGTGAGGGCTGTGATACTGCCCGGGTGCCCAAACCGAAGCGGGTGGTTTTCTTAGGGGGCCACGCCCCGAACCTTTGACCTGAACGTCTGATCCACAAGGCAGTGGAGCATCGTGAGGAGATGCAGTCCTATGGTACATGGTGACCAACAATTGGTTCATACACCATTTGTTCCCTCAGGATCCTGGAGCCCATGTGCACCAGTAGTTTGGAATCAGGGCTTTACAGCTCCCCCAGGTGAACTCTCGGTGTCCACCAACCCGGTTAAAGCGCCGGATATTCACTTTTCGTCCTCTCAATTTCGTAAACAACACCCCCGCAATGAGAAGGCAGTGAGTAGGACTTCCCTGGCAGAAGCTATATACGCGTGGCTATGTGAGAGCTTTTCGAGAGGAAGAGCGGACTCCGCACTCCGCCGTACCATTTGGGGGCTTGTACCAGATTATGTATTCTAATTTAACGTGAACAGTTATTCAACATCTGTATTACCCTCTGGCTTAATAATTAAAGATGGTATTATTTTGCAGTATTTTTGAGAAACGTCAAAACTAAAAGAAAGAAACCGGTTTAACAACAAACTTAATATAGACTTTCCCATTATCTGAATAAATAAATCCCTGTAAATGTCAGGTCATCTTTTTTCGGAATGGTTCATCTAGTAGTGCATACTATGCGGATGGCCTCACAAACATTATGGACATTTCGTCCTACTCGGAACTCGTCATCTGGGTGTACCTGCATCCCAAAGTCGATGTCCACTCTGGAATGCAAGTACATTACCTGACAAGTCTCGAATAAAATAAAATTTTATTGCTAGTTACCGTCCGTCTCTGCTTGAGAAATACTTAAATTTACTTTTTAATTAATCCTATCTACCCGTTGTATTATTAGTCCCGCAAAAGTCTGTCTATCTATATTACCTAATTGTCCGGTATGGTGACTATTTGATTCACTCTCTCAGTTTAATTAAATAGATGTAATTCACTCCACGTACAAATTTATGTTCAGTTTTAAAGTACATTTATGTGGGGGCTAGTAATGCTAACTGGCCGCTCAGAGTGAAGTAGGTACGGCAGGGTTCTCTCTTAAAGCCTGTTGTCTAAGAGCCTAGATAAATTAATTAGTGAAATCATCCGGTCAATACATTTAATATCATTAAGTCTTACTCCAGGTGTATAATACAAAGGCATTAATTTATGCAACATTCGCTAATGTTCCTTAAGATGTGTAAATTCTTTTCCTTACTTTGATGATTTTTGAGATTATTGGAATTGTCATGTATAATATCCTCAACGTTTCACTTGCAGACCGAATTCGGGGACCAAAAGATTTTTCAGTCATCGGATGAAATCGATGCCAACGAATGGATCACTGCTATACGTAGTGGCTTGCCACCATTACGCAGGAATCCTGTTTCTCCTAAGTGTGACATTGACCCTAGTCGTATTGTAACTTTTGTTCGATCTGAACGATGCACTAACTGTGATGCAATTCTGGATTCTAGTTCAAAATCACCTTCTGATATACTGTCCTCAGTCCCCTTACCACCAAACAAAACTAATGCAAATGAATTATGCATTGGATTAGACCATAAAAAGGTTCATGACACATCAGTATTTCATTCTACTAATTTCAAACCACTATGTACAGATAACTCAGCAAACTCGACTCCTATATCAACATTTGCATGTGTTTGTAGCCATGTCAGTAGTGTACCGGATGTTTGGTCTGCCTCCACTAAATCTGATCGTCCTATTACAAATCATAGGTAAACCATTTTTACAAAATTTCCACAGACACTTTTTATTTTTATGTATTCAGTTTATTAACTATAAGTGAACTAACAATATTAAGCAAGCAAAGAGAGTTCTTTGTCAAACACTGTAAACTAGAAAACCATTTTCTAATTCTATCTAATTAATTAAACTCGCCTCCTAAATTAAAGTTGATTCTTAATCGGTCAGTATGCTAGTACAATTAAACAGTTTTGTTGATAGCATAAGTTGAAATTATTAATTGCATTTTCGATTGGGATCATGAATCGATGAATTTTAGACCATCATTGAAAACATGTAAGCACTGGAGGCCGTTTTGTTCTAGTATGGGACTCCTCAGCAGTGCACATCCACGATCCCGCGTACGGGATTCGAACCCGGGATCTTCGGTCTCGCGCGCAAACGCCTAACCTCTAGACCACTGAGTCGGCATCCAGCGGCGTTAATGTCTAATTTCAACCAATCCACGAAATTGCACGACCATCTTCTATTGTCTGAGGTAGATACCTGTCCCTACCCGACACGGATTAGCCATCCAATGCTTTCAGGTTTTCAATGGTGGTCTAACATTCATCAATTCATGATTTCAATAAAAAACCTAGTAATTTCCACAATCCCACACTGATAATTGAATTTTCGTTTGGAAGTGTTGCTTCAAGATATTTCAAAAATGTGCATCATTTTAAGTTATCAAAATTAGCTGCACAATAAAGAAATATTAAAACTATTGTTAGATAAGATTTCAAATCTTAATGAAGGTCTAAGAGGAAAAACACATATCTTATTTCGGAATTACGACTATTCAATAGGAGTGTAAAAAGTAATGGTTAAGTAGTAGTTCTTTAAATCCTACTAGCAGATTTCTTGAATTTATGATCGAATTCTTCAAGAGAAGCATTTTCAATACGTGATTAATTGATGGACTCTAACCTTCATGCTTATCATCAGGGAGTACATTTAACCACGGACCTATGATTGGAAAGCTTACAAGTGTGGACACCGTAATAACTTACTTACTTACGCCTGTTACTCCCAATGGAGCATAGGCCGCCGACCAGCATTCTCCAACCCACTCTGTCCTGGGCCTTCTTTTCTAGTTCCATCCAATTCTTGTTCATTTTTCTCATATCTATCTCCATTTCTCGGCGTAATGTATTCTTTGGTCTTCCTCTCATCCTTCGGCCTTGAGGATTCCATGTGAGGGCTTGTCTTGTGACGCAGTTGGGTGCTTTCCTCAATGTGTGTCCTATCCACTTCCAGCGCTTCTTCCTGATTTCTTCCTCCACTGGGATCTGATTTGTTCTCTTCCACAGTAGGTTGTTGCTAATAGTGTCCGTCCAGCGGATCTGAAGTATTTTGTGTAGACAACCGTTAATAAACACTTGTATCTTTTAGATGATGGATTTCGTAGTTTTCCAGGTTTCCGCGCCATACAGTAGAACTGTCTTGACATTTGTATTGAAAATTCTGACTTTGGTGTTGGTTGCTAATTGTTTTGAGTTCCAGATATTCTTCAGTTGTAAATATGCTGTTCTTGCTTTGCCAATCCGTGCCTTCACATCTGCATCAGATCCACCGTGTTCATCGATGATACTGCCCAAATATGTAAAGGTTTTTACATCTTCCAAAGCTTCTCCGTCAATTGTGATTGGATTGGTACATGCTGTGTTGTATCGAAGAATCTTGCTTTTCCCTTTGTGTATATTGAGACCTATTGCTGCTGAGGCTGCAGCTACACTGGTTGTCTTCTCCTGCATTTGTTGTTGCGTATGCGATAGAAGAGCCAGATCATCTGCGAAGTCTAGATCGTCCAATTGCATCCTATCTGTCCACTGTATCCCGTGCTTCCCTTCAGATGTTGATGTCTTCATGATCCAGTTGATCACCAGGGGAAAGAGAAAGGGTGAGAGTAAGCAACCTTGCCTGACACCGGTCTTTACTTCGAACGACTTTGTCAACTGTCCTCCATGCACGATTTTGCAGTTTAATCCATCGTAGGAATTCTGTATGATATTGACTATCTTCTGAGGCACGCCGTAGTGTCGAAGAAGCTTCCATAGGGTTGTTCTGTCCACGCTATCAAATGCTTTTTCGTAGTCAATGAAGTTGATATAGAGTGATGAATTCCATTCAATTGATTGTTCCACAATGATCCGTAGAGTTGCGATTTGGTCTGTGCACGATCTATCCTTACAGAATCCTGCCTGTTGGTCTCGAAGTTGGGCGTCTACGGAGTCCTTCATCCTGTTTAACAATACCCTGTTGAAGACTTTTCCTGGTATTGAGAGAAGAGTGATTCCCCTGTAGTTGTCACAGTTGCTGAGATCGCCTTTCTTTGGTATTTTGACTAGAAGTCTTTCTTTCCAGTCTTTTGGTACCTGTTCCTCATCCCAGATCTTTCTGAAGAGAGTTTGGAGTATCCTTGCAGTTGCCGCTACGTCTGCTTTCAGTGCCTCTGCTGAAATGCTGTCTAGTCCGTAATAAGTGTATACACAAATAACGTTTAGGCGATATTGTGACGACCGAAAAAATATAGTTTTATGACTCTAGGAGTAATATGCTTTCAAGTTATGTGGTCGAAATCTTGAATTAAATCTGCTGTGATTTCAAAATACTTAGAGCTATTTCCAGTTCTTGGGTTTTATAAAAGACTTTGGTCTTTCCTAGTTTTTTCGTTCTCTGTAAAATACTATCCCTTCATATCACTTTCTTTCTGGTTTTCAAGGGTACTTTTAGAACCACTCAGGATCGTCTGTGTAGTATAGTTCCGCTGCTGTAAATGTTTCATATTACCAGTGGCCTTTCCAATTTTGAAACGGTTTTATATTCTCTGTTTTCTTTCACCATTTTTGTCACGATCGTTCTGATCTAGAATTGAGGTGGCGCAATCTGGGTGGTATTCAGGGAAAACATGTCATGTAGTTAAACTCATCTGTGCATATACTGCTCGTTCATCATATTCTAACTGTATTTGTGGGTTAAAATACGTTCTTACAGCTAATGAGTGTGAAATTTATCTATTCCTTTATTTTTTTATTAACTTTCGTCACTACGTGAAAAGCAGGAATGAAACTAGTCTTGGCTACGAAACGGAAGTTAACAATATCTGATCAAAATTCTTCCTTCTAAGATTGATTTTTTGTTTACAATGTTGTTCTCTTTGGCAAATGTTTTGCAATGAAAACAATTAATTTAAAGTTAATCAACAATATAAGTGTTAGTTTTATAAATTTTGTAACTTGAATATTTTATTTTGTTGACTACCACTGTAGTATGAATCTTAGTCAATCAGATGGATGCACTACTACAGCGAATAATACTATATCTTCTCATGGATTTATAAAACCTTCTGCTAATGGTATGTTCGATTCTTTTTTCTCTTTCATTATTGTTTGTCTATTCACACTGCCTAATATTGTATGCTCTCTATTATATAATACCTGATTGAATATACTGTTATTTGTTTAATTATTAAAACCATGAAACACCACCAGACTAAATCCGATAAAAATTTTATTAGGATTCAAGTGAATCTTAGGTTTATTGATACAAATAAATAATGAGAAAATGAGTGAAAAGTTTACGTGAATATAAGCTAGACTTGGTTTAAATAGGATATATTAAGAAACTTAAATAGAATAATCAGTTGTTTTGCTTTTAAATTTTACCTGATAATATTTTGAACGAACTTCACATTGTTGCGGGATTTCATAAACAAATTTTTTTTACATCCCCTTCAATAAGTTCCATCATTAGTTAATAATAACAACAATACTGTTCAAAATAGAAACCCCTCTCAAACACATATTCTAACTATTCTATCAAATATGCTAGATGTCGGGGCATTTTCCATCGAAAATTCAATTTTTTATGAGAATTCAGTTTAAGTTCTACTTGGTTTATCATCAAATGATAATCCTTAATTGTCCTCCTTTATGCAAAATGGTGCAGAATATTTGTGAAATAAGATTTAAAGTGATCAGTTTATGAGCGATATATTAATGGTATGGTTCGATTCTTCGTATGTGATAACCGATATAATGTGTTTATCTGTATGCGTAAAGAAGCAGTTAGTAGCAATCGCTTTAGATCAGTTTCTTTGTTTCCTGTTCCAATGGCAAGGAATAACTAGCGTATTATGCACTTCATATCTAATAAATCCTATATCTTCATAGTCCTCTTATGTGTTATGTGATTTATTGTCCCTCAATATCTCTTAGTACTGAATCCCAAGTAGAACTGAAAAGATCAATGCAATATCTAGTGCTCGGATAATTGTGTTTCAAATCAAGTGTACAAAGCTCTACTTAGTTACCAGATATAAATAAATTGTAACTACTGAGTTTTTAAATATTCATATATGAATTTGCTGTTTTCCTCATTACTTTTCGAAACTGAGACTGTAACGTATTTGTGTAAAAGTGATTCATTTCCTCCTAATTTTTTGATCCCAATTAATCACTACTGTTTGTATTATAAATATTTTTTCCAGTTCTTTGTCCTACTCCATCGCGACCTTCTACCTTCGCCTCAGGATTTCGGCATACATCGCCTTCCTCTCATCCCGTTTCATTACACTCGATTAGCAGACCAGATAAAAGCAACAGGCTATGCAGTTTGACAAACAATACTTTACTAGAACAAATTAATTCACCTAATACAAATCAGTCAAGAGTCGATAGTTTTCGAAGTGGAGCGTTTTCTGTTTTTAATTCTTCAAGCAACCTGCCACGTGTTTCCTCACTAACTTCTGGTTTTGAAGATGTAATTGGTCACCAGCTTTCTATTTACCCATGGTATCATGGAACGCTTTCACGAGTTCGAGCCGCTAGTTATGTATTGGGTCAACTTTCGGAGTTTGAACATGGTACTACACAACAGCATCTAACTTGTCCTGAAGCTGCTGGAGTAAGTTTTAACTCTGAACAAAATACTGCCGACTTATCGAATATGCCACCTGCTTTGCCAACTACAGATGGTGTATTTCTTGTGCGTCAAAGTGAAACAAAACAGGGTGAATTCGTCTTAACATTTAGTTGTCATGGTAAACCTAAGGTGAGTATACACTGTGTTATCACTTCTGGATTGTGTAATTACAGGTTATTTTAAATGTCTGTTTTTAAACTTCGTTTATTTATTTATATTTATTTAAACACATAAACATTGGTACAAGGAGTCACCAAATATATGCGCGTCACAGAGCGTCTGGTTTGAGTGAGAGGTGGAATACTGCTCGGGCGCCCAAACCGACACAGGTTATTTTCCCAGGGGGCCACTCCCACTTCGTTACTGATGTCGTCTAAATGTTTTTATTTGTGGCACAGCGACCTCATAAATTATGTCGTTCTAGTGTAGTATTTATTCCATAAATAAATAAATTGGTTTATTAAATCCTAAGAAAGCAAAACTTCTCTGCTAAAGCACTCAAATTTCAACTACTCGATCATGACTTTTAACCATACTTCACCAACTTCGGGTAGTATTACTGCCCCGTACACTGAGACTGTAGCTCAAAGTCGTTTCTATGCTTGGTTCCTGAGTCACGTTAAGAATCGATCTACAACATGAGCCATAGATTATTTTCGTTCCTTTTTTCACCGAATAAGATCAAATTTGAACTGACTTTATATTGGATGAACCACGAGATCATTGTTAGTTTTTACCTGCGAAATGTGGTTTTGTTTCCTGAGCTAAAAGAAATCATTTTCGAAATTCATTAGTTCGCAATATTGGAAAGCGATAGGGTTTAGTGTATGTGGTAATTTCATTGTTCAATACTAATGTAAAACAGTACAGTCGAAAATCACTTTTAACTGTTTATCTGTCTGTGTGGCGTTGTAAGTATAATTTATTAGTCAGAATCATATCAATTTGTTCATATAACTTTGAAACTCATGTTGTACAATTTCAATACATACTATTCTTTGGTTTTAATAGTTTACAGTATATACTGACTCATAAAATCTGTTTATAAATTGTCGAATAACGAAAAAAGACTGATCGTCGATTGATACCACTGTATGCTAATAATTGTCTGTGGATTAAATGATGAACTACTTGTCTGTTCATAACATTTTGGTTCACGTCGTTATTCAACTAAAACGCTTTGGTGTTTTGAATTGAGGCACTACTCTAATTAGGTTTTAGGTTACTTGAACTGTTTGTGTTGTAGAAAGTTATATCATGTAAAAATCATTAGTCCCCTATTAAGAAAGACAATTGACATCGTGCTAATAGCCTGGTGTTTGATAATGATTTTGTAAAGTAAATTAAGTGATCAATCATCACTTGTTGAAATCTCGAAGCAAATCACTGTAGATCTGTGTACACAATTAACTAACTATTAATGAATTATTATTTTATAATTCTGACGTAATCTATGGAGGTTTTACTACCGATTACTTGCTTAAACGCTAACTAATTACATGGTTGATGGATATCACGTTTACAGATTAACCAATTTCACTGATACCACTTCTTTCACTACCTTGGTATTTTTCTTATCAATATGATCTCTGTATACCTATGTGGTTTGACAACTTGACCGGTCCACACATATCTCAAGTTCCACATCGATTATGACTGACTGTGATAGCTTCTAAAACTTTTCCACTAACGTCAGAATGACCTGTTTTCCGGTTTTGGGGATCATTTCGCTAATAGGTGTGGCGGTTTTTACGGAAGGTGGACAGAAGATGGGTTTCATCATTTTCTTAGTATAGTAAAAGTAATTTTGTAAATTACGATTCTTTTGTACAATGTTTATTTATAACTATTTTTGTGCGTTGATGAACGATTATCACCGCTCTGTGCAGTATTCAGATAAACCTTTGTGGTTTCTTGTAAATAAATGAAACTTGTAGTAAAACTTTGAATTGGCCCTTTTGGACCACATCATTCAGTTTCCCATATTTTTATCATACAATGTTGAACGGTCCAAAAATGCTTTGACTATCTAAGCATAAGAATAATCAAGACCTCGTCACTGACATGTTATAGATATAGGATTTTGGCTTATACTTAAGATTTATGAATATCATTTCGTATATTTTTATTTATTTTTCATTGACCTTTTCTCGAATTATAAGTGTAGTCTGCTGCCGTCGGCGCTTAGTTCGCTACTGACATTTTCTAATTGTTACACTCTTCTATGTGTACATAGTTTTCCAAATGCGAAATATTTTCAATGCATTTTTTTATCCACAAATTTTTTTCACGAAACTGTTCTTTATTTCTTTTTATATATAGCACTTAAGAATGACTTTAAGTCCAGATGGTCATTGTAGAGTTCAACACCTACCTTTTGATTCAATCGTAGAAATGTTGGAACATTTCCGACAAGAACCTATTCCTTTAGAACAAACATTAATATCAAATATGACTGATGGTCTATCTTCTGATGTTTTGCCTAATTCCACAACTTCTACTCCTACTCCTATCACATTGTCAGCTTATGTTGTTAATACTCATTTGACAGGTAGTCGTGAACGGCTAGTTATTTGTCGCGGCTCAGTTCGTGCTAATTCGAATACGGTAGGCCGAGCAGCTGCTGTAGCTGCGGCGACTGCATCAGGTGGTAAAGCTGGACAAAATCAATACATTGTCATGTAAACAATAAAAGTCTATCTGATTTAAACTAACAATAAAGTCAAAGTAACAACCTTAACAAAAAGGTCTCCTTCAGTTTGTTTTCTTACTCTGATCTGTTGAACTGCTTTAGCGGAGATTTTATTAAGGTTATATATATATATATATATATAAGTCCCATGACTTTCCCATCAGTCTTTTTCTTCAGAATCTGTTAAAAATTTGTGCCTTGTAAATTATATAAACAAATATCTGGCCAATTTAACTTACTGTTGTATACATACGCAGGATAACAGTTTGCTTCCATTTATTTTAAAAGTTTACTGAATAACCCGTTTTTTTTTCTTTTCACTTTGAACTCGTCCATATTCATGTGAACATGCGTATATCTATTTTCTATTTAATAATTTCTTTAAATAATTCAGAGTGCATTTATTATCAATGTATGAATTATATTTTCAAATTGTTGATCATTTTATTCTCTTCTCTACCTGATGAATTATTTATTTTTCAATGGCTATTATTTTAATCTAATTGTTTTTTCCATATGTCTGTATACATACATTATGGTTGTCATATACTGTGCAATATTTTTTTTCAGTGGATATTATTGTTTGATTTTTAACTCCACTTGTCGATGAAATGCATTTGAGATATCGCTTTAAACAATAGTCTAAATCAATTGAAATAAAGGTGACAATTTTAATGAAATGCGTTTTTAATCGCTGAAATATCCTCAATATATTAAAACATGTGTATATACAAAGAATATTCTTTTCAATAAATTCCCTACAAGTTCTACAACTGTATATCCAAATCAATAATTCAAAAAGTGGTCAGGTTTAAGGCAGAATACATCATTTAAAAACTATAGTATATGAATTTAAGATTGTAAAATAGTGTGTAGGATGATTAAAATGAAGTGTTGGCTTGATTAAGTTGTAAAGGGATTAAAGTCTTTCCGATAGAATAAATCATTTAAGAATCAACAATGCAGTTAGAATATTTGATCTGATAAGTTACTGCTACTGGCTCGTAAGATCTTTATTGTAACTATAACAATGGAATTCCATCAATACAACAATGACATCGGATGGCGCGTATCGCAAATTAAAAAAAAAATCGTTTCAGAATATCTTCTGTATAGAAATGCCCATTTGTCAGCAAACAATACATTCGCTTTCTCACATTGATATCTATCGGTGGAGGACTAAGATAATAACTTTCTTTGGCTGCTGCGAATTATAGACACTGAAATTAATACTTATGAATTAGGTGAGATGCGTTATTATTAGTGCGTAAGTGATTTCTTAGTTCCCAACGTTAAGTAATGATAAACTATTTAGTTCGGTGTAAACTTGGGTCAGAGATACAATTGATTAAGCAATGCTTCGAAATTATTCCCAGGAAAATCAAGTAAAAGCTAATGACTGATACGTTATTAAGACCATTTCAACTTATTTTGTTTAGATTTTCAGTTCTAAGTAAGATAGTGGTGATTATATGAAGTTGTTACCAGATTCTTAATTTATTTATAGAAACGAGTGCAATAATAAGATGTTATATTTGACATCTAGAACTTCAGTAGTTTAATGGTAACTAATTTCAACTGTACATCAGCAAACGTTTATAAAACGGCACTAATTCTGACCTACCTTTAGATGAAAACCTCATTGTATTACTAATTGAGAGAATTATTATTGAAATATCTCAATTATTTATGAATAATTTGTTAGAGTGTAATCAGTTTGGAATAACTGCGATTACTTCTCAGTTCCTTAATTTATGTTATCTACGGTGCACATTTACTGTACCCTAGAAAACGGCTTTACAACTTGTGTGAAGATTCCGCATCACTAGGTGCAGAAATTATTGTCCCTTTCTAAAAGAAAGCTATGTATTGCTTGTCGAGTATGTGGTCCTTAAATCTGTCTGCAGTATATTGAATGCCATCCTGATGTCAAATGTACAGCAGGATCCTGAAGTTTAACACTGTTGTGTATCTTCGAATTCTCAAGTTTACTGATCATATATTGAGCTGAGTTAGGGAGTGATAATTAAATCATTGAAACAAGGACGTAAAAAAACTGCATTGGTTTTTGTGGGCAGACTGGAAATTAGAAAACCTGGAGAGCTGTGGATAAGTGGTGTAAACAAAGGAAAACTTTCGGCAAGAAAGAAACCAAGTCCGAAGAACATCACCTGTAGGTGGTAGGTAGGCCGAGTCAGACCAAAAATACGATAAAGGTAAGATCAACATAAAACGCATCCATAGTTCTAGTAAACCAGTCCTCATCTATCATCACCGATAAATTAAAATTTCCCAAGTAAAAACACATGCTGCATTAGTTTTATTTATGCATCCCAAACTTGAACACACTTATTAATAAGCGAGAACACTTGTAACTCATGTGGCTTAAATGCAAATCATATATATTTCGAAAAGATGCATATGACAGCTTTATGAAATAACAAGTCTAATAAGCACAAGTTTTCTAGGAATCCTACGTTACTTCGGCCTATTGGGTGTAAGTTCTTAGCTGTTTTTCATGTGGCCACCACAACTAACGATACACTAAAGTACATTTTCTGTACAAATTAACTGCAACTTTTCAAAGATCTACTGAGACAAGCAATGAATCTGTAGATGTCAGTTGTTAACGATTGTTTCGTTAGAAACGACTGTAAGATATGATACCAAAAGCCTAAGATTCCATGAGAACATTTTTAAAACTTTGTACTCGGGGATGAATTAAGACTTCATGTAGAATGATAACTGGGTATTGCTCTTCGCCAGTTATCGCGACATTGAAGAATAGGGTTGTTGGGTACATTCACTTCTCCCCGGCAATAATAAATTCACCCACTAAGTACTTTGGCATGTACCATGTGTGAGGGCTAACGATGCTACTCAGCTATCTAACCATTAGAGAGGGGTTTGAATCTAGGGGCTTTGCTTCTAGTAAACAGACAACTTAGTGAGTACATGTAAGTCGTTTTTTTAGGTGTCACTAAAGCACCTACCTAAGGTCAGTGTCTGTCTACAGGACTCTAATATACCGAGTACAGACAAATCAGAAACTGAATCATTCATTTAACTGCTAGTCTGAAATAAATAGGTCATTTCCATCGTATTAGTTGGATAATCACTGGTGGTTTCACCATAGTGATGTAGACTATGAAGCAGTTTACAATAACGAGACTTCTTACTAAACTATGAAGCCAGCAAATTATCGTCCAGTTTACTGTTATTACTGATGAGGAACATTGATTCTCTATATTAACGACCACATTATTGGTACACCTTTGCAAATTTTAATTCACAAACTTGTTATTAGTAGTACTAATCTTTGAAGCAGTCTTTTCTTCGGAAGTAGAATCTACAGAAGGACATTTACGAATGGGGCGATCGTGGTATATATTAACTTACATGAGAATTTACTGACAATATCAAGCTAAGATCTCTTTAGTCCTACATCCAATAACGATGTAATCAGGTAGTGACATGGGTTCTATGAAACTAATTTTACAAGTGACAACACTTTCATGAGTAAGCTTTTAAACGCGACTACTCAATGAGGAATGGGATCTAATCGTCTGGAACACGCACGTTAATGAACATTAAGATGAGGGATTTTCGCAATTTTTTAAAGGTTAAGTATGAAAAGTGACAATACAAGAGTCAAAAGGTTATCAGAGAGTTTTGACCAGTCAATCATAAATCTAGATGATAAAGATAAGTTGTTGCTACGAATCCCCTGACTTCTTTCGATTTCATCAACTTGTTATTCATCTCCGGATGATATTAATTCACTATGTTTCGCGTCCCAACACGAAACTTTAGATGTGCTACAATTAAACTACACCTAGTATGAACTTCTGGGTCTATAATCGATTCAGAACCATAATGACTAAAATATCTACTATTGAAGATGATGTCCTTGCTTGGTTATTAAATACGACTATTTAAACGAAATTAACATAGTAGCATAATTGATAAATAAGACAAGGAATGATGATATCATTTATTACAGCGGACGGATAGAAAAGTGCAACATATTTTACAATTATTCAACATCTGAGAGTCAAGTCATCACAAAGTATCCAGTCTATCATCATCGCACTCTCTGATATACAAAACATTATTGCAGCGGATCAGAACCTCTCCCAAACTTCCAGTATGACAATTGTCAATATACTCATCCGTGCTGTGGAGTTGCAAATTCATATATCTGTCTACAGAAACAAGGTATCCTTTGTACTCCATTCCCCACTTTAGTTTAACAATGACCTGCTTCCCAGTTATTCCACTGAGAAAAGGCTTCGGATTATTCATTGCGACGTCCATTATGCACACTGTAGAGCTAAAAATTCGTCATGCGCGCAATATGAGGAGTATTGATTTTCTATGTTCTATACCAAATACCCAGTACCTTTGTCACGAGTTTGTATAAAGGGATTGAGTTCTTTGCACTAGCTTGTTGTTGTTTTAGTGCGTTTCTAGATCTTTAGTAATATCCAATGTGTAGTAGCCTAAAGGCTACTATAGTCACTCGAACGAATTGGTTCTAGTCAGTGTAGTAGTTATTTGTAGAGTTGCGTTTATTGTAACTCGAGTGAGTGTATTTGTCATGAGGTGGAAGAGCTACTCGGTACTACCAGCCATCAAATTACCTGAGAGGATATTAGTTTATTGCAGTATGAAAAACACTTGCTAACAAAGTGATATTTCAAGCTCTAAATGAAGATGACTGATTTAAGAAATAAATAAATAGGTTAATTAATCAATTGGCAATACAAACTGTGTTATAACAAAAAGGACAACAGAGGTAATAATAATAAGCGGGACAGGAACCAGCCGTTGATATGCATTAGTGACAATAATGGGTAAATTATAAGACATGCATCAGGGACTGCTGGTCCTAGAGAGAAATGACGATACATGAGTTCTCGCTCTTTGACTTGCAGTTTTCAAAGGGTTGTCTCGAAGTGCATGATCGTGTATTTATCATTGCACAAGTAGCCTGTTATTTAGGCTAGCGAGACATGAATAACCCGTTTTAAAGCCATTCTGCTTTAAGAAAAATTTGGCTTTCGTCTGGATACTTAAACAACCTCCCAGTAATCTCTTAAAATTTTTAAAAACCACACTGACTAGGCTTAACGGTCAGTCATTCTCAAGTTTTAATGTAGTACCTGTTTTGAAGACAGGACTTACTATGACGTTCTTTCGGTTATCTGGTAATCTACTTTGGAATATAGATAGACTAAATACACATGTTTGAGAGATTTGCGGTAAAATTTGGTAATTCATTTAGCAACTAAAGATGCAAATCATCGTATCCCATAGATACGCCTATATTAAGCTCATTAAGCAAACCGAAGTCATTTAGTTCTTTAGCGGCCATCGTATACTGTGTGAGTGTAAAACAGAGTTTGTATGGGCTGGGGAAGAGGGCATCTCTACGGTACATAAAATACATAAGGAGTTTGTGAATAAATTACCCTCACCATAACCGTTCTGTACTGGTGATGCACTATTACTGTCTTCTCATAATGCTGAGATGTCACCTGTTCTCTTAATATTTTTTTATTTATGTAGGAGTACAAACATTTATGTTATTTAATAAATTCTAACAAGCTTTTATTTATACAATCTTCCAGACTTGCGGAGGGTCGAGGCCGTAATATTCTGAGTCACTCGATAATGTGACTTAGTCTCATCGGTTCCCATTCTTTTGTATTTATTGAGAACAGTGCAGTAACTTTTAGTTACGAAATCCCGAATACCTCCTAGCCGTTTCATTAAAGGATC